TGCTAGATCTCAATTGCTCAGAACAATCTATCAATGAAAAGCAAAAAAAAGATTAAAAGAAAATTATATTAATCGTAATCAAAGGGTAACAAACGCGAAAGCGTCCGCGAGTGTTATCACTATCAAGATCGAGTCATCGTATAAATGCGGGTTCGACTTTTGTCACCTTAAAATCTACAGGGCGTTCCGGAAGAATTGACCTTAATTTTAATAATAAATTCATTCGAAATAAACACTTTTTGGTAATGTGTGTGTAGAGTAATATTTTGTTAACGATAATTACAAAGAATTGTTTTTAGATCTTAAATCTGTCACGTAATAATACAGAGAAGATAAACAGATTTTTTTATCCATTTTATTTATATCAAAATTTTAATTTATCTAATTATATCCAAATGTTTAATATTAAATATTCAAATGTAACAAATGATGCTATCCTTGAGAAATAGAATTTAAATTTACCAAAGATTTTATCATTAAAATTCAAGGATAAATTTCTGATGCTCTGCGTATCAAGCTGCGACGTATGATCATATAGCACTTCAGCGCGAAAAATGACGTCTCGTATTTTAGCAGTCATGGAAACATTTTTTGTGGAAGAATAGGAATTTTGAGAAATCAAATAAATATATGTTAGATGTTTATATTGTGCATTATACAAATGTGCATTTAACATTTTTAACGAACACGATATGTCCATTACATGTCCCTATTTGTGAAGCGATGTATAAAATAATATTAATAAGCCGATATTCTGTAAACGATATTCGCGAATGTATATATAAACTATATGTATCCATAATACATTGCAGTCGTTATAAATCGAAAGCTGAAATACGAGACACCCATTTTATCGCGCATTAACAATTATGGAGTGGAAAGTCATAACGAAAGCTATTATATTCCAGAAACCATTATTTTTAAAAGTAAAGAGATTAGAGACTTACCGCGAGTTTTCGATCAACATTATCGCATATTTCATTCTAACTATTTCGTTTACGGTTGTAAATGAGTATGTTTTGCGTTTGTATTTTATAGGACACGTGTTTGCAAATAAACGCATGTATATGACGGATAGCCCTTTATAATTTTCCACTCCATAATTTTCTCGCGTTACAAATCTCTGAGCACACAAATAACAAATTGTCCCAAGTGCAGACACGCGCATAGTAGAAAATAATAATTTTTACAACAATTCTATCGTAACATATGTGTTAAAAACAAATCATATGGATCATACATCGGCTCTCTATATGCGAGTAATATCGTATCGCATGTAAATCCGTATCACTCGTATCATCCAGTGTAAGCCATTTACATACGTAAGAAACGTATGTATCTATGTTTACGTGTATTGTCATGAAACGATTACCGTTAACATGTATACTACAATCGTATATGTTGTTGCAATCGTTCTAATCTGGTAATCGTAAAATGGTGAAAAGTTATACGAACAAGTGCAACTTTGCATCAGACTAAAAGAAAGTTTATGACATATGTGCAAAAATCGCATGTCACATCTAATTCTCTCTGTTTAATATTAAAACTAAATAAATTATTTTCCTGGATGTTCAATAATCTTATCTTTTTAATATTGAGACAGAAAATTTTGACAGATTTTGACAGATATTGATTTTTTTTCCACAGATTTTGAAAATTATCTATTTTCTTTTTATTTCCGTAAAAATATTTGAAGTCATAGATTAAAATGATAATAATTTACAAAAACATCATTTATAAATATAATTGATTATTAGGAAAAACGTTTTCGAAACTTTATATTAGTATCTCAATATACCTTGATAACAATTCTATTTTAGTGTGATGTAAAATTATACTTGCTGATGCATACAACTTTCTTTATGATATGTCGTAATTGGTATATTATTTTATCAAGTCCATCATTAATAACAATCTATCTTCTGAATTTCGAGTATTTATTCTGAGTATCTATAGAATATGATAATTTTCAGAATCTTCCAAATATTGTCTCCGACATTTTTGAGAAATCGATCTCGAAGCACTTCATACGTGTATCAAAATGTTTCCCTATAATTTATCACGTAAAATTTATTTGACATAGGAAATTTTAAATTGACATTAAATAACCGTACAATATTAATCACAATTTAGAATTGAGAGTTATGTTTGTCTACATTTGACGATCTCTTTTAAAGATTTATGACGTTCGTGTGCCATCAATGAACGTGACGAATGTGTATATGAGTAAAAAATTCATGTTGTGACTGTCTCTTTAATCAAATTTTTACTCCGCAGCGACACGTTTATCAGGTAAATCGCCGTATACATGTTGTTCCCTCAACTACGAATAAATCTCACCGATGACGTTTACGTGCGTCATGTATCGATTGCGAGAAAGACCGGTCATCTTCTCTCTTTGTCTGTTATCAATAACGCGTTACAAATCGTGCGCGAAAAGGAAATTACGAACTATGGAAAATGGGGAAACGGAGCTTCAGAGATCCTGAAAAGCTTTTCGATTTGCTCTATCACGGGGAACGTGGATCAAAAAGAATTTTCATTGTTTATTCTATTATTTGCTCAGTTATATCGTCGTTTTACATTGTAATTAATTCAGCACGCTCTAACCGCGATAATTATAATTTTGTACTCTCGTCATATAAACTTAAGTTTTTATCTTACTACCTAAGGCAACAATTTTTTAGAGATTTATCAGGGAACGATAGGAACATAATCGGATCAATGATGATCGGGATCGCGATCGATCAAATTTCCACGTTCCGTTTCTCGATATATTTTAGAAAGATTTTCTCCAGGCTAACTAAAACTATTTCAAGGACATAAAATCATTGTTGCATTTTTGGTGGGTATGTCCTTGCGTAATTTACGATTCGTGTATTTTGTATCATTCCTTTCCTTCACCCTATGGCGCCATCCTAGCTGGACGGCTTGAGTGCGTAGCGAGATTTCTTTAATAAATTATATGGCCTCTGGAGACAATGAATGAACAATTCAGAATGAAATCTTAAATATTGAGCAATTCTGCTCTCATCGGACTAACCAAGCACTCTTCGGAGGTGATGAGAAATTAAAATTTAGATACAAAGAAATTAAAGATAAATAGATAGAAATATAAATTAATACAGAGTAGAAAACTTTATTAGATAAGACATTTATTTTTTTTTTTTAACATTATTATACGATATTTAATTTCATTAATTATGCATATAAAATTTATATTTTGAACTTCATTTTTAAAACGAATTATAATATATAAATTGCATAATTTAAATATTTATATTTTTTTGACAATTAAAAAATTAAATATATTTTTCAAATTTCTATATTCTCATATTTATCTTCTTCTCTAAAAAAAATAAAAGAAATCAAAGAAATCGAAGAACTGTAAATTTAAAAATAGTGAATTTCAAAGTGATTTTTAAAAGTTAAATGCCAAGGTAGTGCCAAAAGCAGAAATTGCCAGTCCGACAACGATACCCTTTTTCCACTTTGAAGCGTGCATCGAAGCATTCATTGATATTTAAAAAAGAAAACTCGCTACATAGCTTATTCGTATCACGATTATTAAGCATATCGTACAGCTGGGTTTGAAAACAAGCGTCATGTAATCCTCAATCGAATCACTTGCGAGAAAGAAAAAGTGTAAGAGGAAAAAAGAGAAAGAGAGAGAGTGAGAGAGAGAGAGAGAGAGAGAGAGAGAGAGAGAGAGAGAGAGAGAGAGAGAGCGAAAGAAAAAAGGAGAATAAAAAAGCGTCAACAGGAAGACATAATTGTCTTTAAAAGAGAAACACCAATGAAGAAGTAACAATGTATACACTATACATAACATATGAGTATACAAAAAAATGAATAAATCTACATATATATATAAAATGAGAGATAGATTAATAAAAAATCTCAAGCCATACATTACATATTATTATTATTATTATTCATTAACGAATGTGTATTTACCTTACCCGATAAGAGTAATCAATCGAGAATTTAATTCACAGGATATTCAGTTAAGAATATCTAATATACGGTAAATGTGCGATTATTACGAAATCAACGAAATACAATGAAGGAACATCATTTCACTTAAAGAGATCGATTTAATTGACTTAAAATAACAGATACATGTGAATCTCGAACAAAAATTGCGACATTAAGATATATTGCGAATAAAGACGTATTCATAAAAAATAACAACATTGCTCCGCGAGTAGTGAAATGTCACGCTCTGTGGCATTTCTCGCAGTCTGAGAGAGTGTAAATACTCGTTCGCAGAGGACATCGCATCAAATAAAATTCTACTAATTCACAAAGACTGAAAGTGTCTCTCTGTGTGGATATATCGCGTTACGTTTGATCAAGCGTATAACTCTCGTTGTTACGCGTGCCTATGAATCGAAAGTAGATTTATAAAAAAAAAAACAACGTGAAAAAAAATATCATTTACAAAATAATGATTAAAATTCGGAGACCCGCAAAATCGTCGTTTCCCACGTGAAATCATATGTTAATTTGCGTCAATTAAAATTTCTCTATTACGGCTAATTTCCGAGAAATGCGAAAATGACTTACAAAAACTTGCTAAATGCGTAACGCTATTCAACTTCAAACTTTTCATTTTTTTTCGTCCCCCCTCCATCTTTCTGCTAATTCAGTTTACTTGTCTTTTTCTCGGCAAATTGAATTTCATTGTACAATTTAAGAAGCTCATTTAGGCTAATTCTCAAACGATGTAACATTTAAACCCGCCTTTTTTCGTGAATAAGAATTCATTTCTTCCTGGAATATATTTTCATTCTATACTTTCTACGTTTCCTTTTTTACTTTTTTTTGTGCAATTGAAAAGTCAGTTGGCATAGCAGAGATCTTTTTAAAAATTGTAAATTGTAAATCTATTAAAAAATAATATTCTGCCTATTTTCTCGAGTAAACAATTTTTAGTAATCAGCAATAATTAAAAACATGGATACAATTTCATGTATTCTTTTTAAAAATATCTTGTTTCACATGTTATTATTGATTTGAATAATAACAGTGATCAATTTACAAATCTTGTATCGTTAGTCAGGAAAGATATCTATTTGATCAAATGTGTGTATGTTGTACAGAATATTATTTTTAACGACATTTATAAACTTGTGTTGTTATGACGTCTGCATCGTGCCAACTGACGCTTCAATTTTTAACGACGTTTTAGTCGAGCTCGTTTACAACGTACAACAGCTCGCTCTGCATCTCCTTTTCATCATTGCCGTTTTCCTCTTCATAGAAATTTCCAATACCGTCGGCCATACCGTCGATAGGACCAACAACGTGCATCGACTCGCTTACATCCGTCTGCTCATCGTCCTGTGCTGAGATTATGACGTTAGTTCCGGCGGAACCTTCGCCAGGTTGATCGGACTTTTCCTGATTCTTCGATGTCGCCTGGCCTGAAAAAGTCACGTCGGTATATTTAACCCATCGAAATTCTTGTTGAAAAAGTGAAACGTTCGCGGTAAACATGCCTCGACGAGTAAATTTCGGAATAAATGATTCTCCGCATACTCTGCATACTCCCGAAGATTATTACAGCGAGTGAATTTCATTCACAGATTTAACGCACACAACAGTTTTAACGCGCGAATAGAATACTTTTGATAATTCACGATGAATTCGAATGCTGGCTCTTCGCCAATAACGCTTTTACTGTAATTGTGTGAATTTTACGGATAGCTGTAATGTTTCTTACAACCAGAATGCAGAAAATTTCGTGATGGGAGGATCGATTGTGAGATGCGAGCTTGCCGTATACACACGTTTATTTACGCATATCGTAAATATGCATGGAGGCGTAGAGCACATAGTTGAAGGTTTAATCATCTCTTTTGAGGGTTTGCGACAAAGGCAGCTGAGTCGGATATTACACTGACCTTGGCCGAGATCTCGTGCTTTGCCCAGATAGGAGTATTCTCGTGCGTTCGCTAAACCGGCTATCACACAGGCGCTGAGTGCACTGCGACTAAGATTCATAGGAGATGCATCGTACCATTCATTGTAATCCGCATCGTAGCACTCGACGTGCGCTATTGTACTCGATCCTATTACGATAATGTTATTCCTTTATAATCATAAGCCGCTTAGATTTTATAAGAAAGTGAAAATCGCTCTTTATGGCAAGACATAATTTTTGGCTCTTACAATATTATTATATTTTATCGAGGGGTAACCACTAACTGAAACGGTATCCTATAGATTATATGATTTCATTTTATTTCATACGATTTCTGATGATAAATAATTTTCTTTACTATATGTGAAGTCATTTGTTCAAAATAAACGATTTCTAATATTACACAATTATTTCTCGTATTACATATGTAATTATCGAATTGTACATCGGAATTTTATGATTTCGGAGACTTTATCCCACGATACATTAAATTACCTCCTCGTATTTTATACCTTATCATTGTATACACACATATTTTATAACAAGAACATAAAATACTAAAAACTTTTCCAATATTTCTAAATAGATAAATTAACAAAGTATACCAGAAGGTTTGCGGATTATCACCGTGTTCTTATCTATCGCTAATGCCAACGTTTCGTAAATCTTGATTGAGTATCAATACGCTCTTCGCCCTGATAAACAGCAAGGAAACGTTCACGAAATGTTGGTATTAGCAATGGACATGGCAATAACCCGCAAACCTTCTGGTATCTTCGAAGAAAATACCCATGAAAACCTCAAAAGCAGATAAATTAACGTCCTTATTTTTGCCGAATATCTTCTATTACGGCGAAAAGAACATTACGAGAAGACACATACATTTCTCTTTCGAAATTATGTGTCTGAGAATATAGAGAATATAGAATATAGCAAAAGAGTAAAGGATCAAAACAGATTTTTTTAGGATACCATTGTAACCGCCGATGACAAAAATCATATCGTCGAGGATCACCGTGGCGAAGTTACTGCGTGGGCTAAACATCTCCGAGATCTCGTGCCATTGATCTGAATGATTTGGAGTGTAACGTTCTCCTGAAAAATAAATGTTTTTCACGAATGATGCCACTCTTCACGTAACCTGTCACATTGAATGTTTGTATAGAAAATATTTAACACATATAGTTACATATTCGCAGATATTATCAGAGACTACGTCATGTACGGGCATGCAATTCGAGATGATATCACGCAATTGACATTGTTATAACTGAACGAGATCGCCATTGTCTGATCGCGAACATTTCGGTATCAAATTAAATTCGACAAATGTACAGAACATCTGTAAAACTTTCCTTAACTAATTGATTATTATTATTATTATACGTATATGACGTTACACATGCATGTATTGTCTTTACGTATAGAACAATAATTAGAAGTTTTCCATCTAGAATTTATTTATACAAAGATATTAAAAATTGATTTTTTGTTTCAATTGATTCCTTTTTTTAATAATATTTTAAAATGTGAAGTGCCTTTTTCAAATCGCCATTTGATTGTTTTCTTGAATAATATATTTCTTTCTTTAATCATATCTTACAATAATGGAAGTATTTTTTGATCGCGATTGCAATTATTGAATAAATAATAATAGCAAGAGATAATTGGAATCTAGATAGCAAAATTCTAACAAATTGATAGCAAATTTGATTAGATTTCCTATACAATCTGTAATAATCTGTGTTCATATTAAGCTCAGGCTTTGTCAACAGTCCGCTGATATGTCAACAGATTAGTGACAGACACTGAGTAAGATTTGATCGTGTGGGCAATCCGATGGCAGGTTGATAGCAAAATCAGAGCAGGAACTGCAAATTCTGCTTGGTTTCTGTCGCCAATTTGCTGACAAAGCATGTCAGCAGGCTTTGTCCTATTTCTGGCGGCATTTGCCGACATTGTCAGATATTAAAGTCTCTGTGTAAAAATTTATTGCCTTTCTGCTATCGAAAATTGATAGCATACTCTGTTTAAGATTTGTCTCTGCAGGCTATAATTCCAGAAATTATTAGCGTATTAACTCTACCTTCAACCATTTTTTTTATTTTAATACGCGAGATCATAACTTTGTAGAGGCTGATCAGAATGCATTGCGTCGAGATTGTAACAATCAAAACTAACCGGAACTTAGCCTCGCAACGCCGCTGAATCCACCAAGGGCATAAAGACTATCGCGGAAAGCGACTAAGGAGACGCCGGATCGTGGGCTGATCATCGAATCAATATTAGTCCACTGACTAGTCTCTACATCGAAGACCTCCGCCGAGTCAAGGACTTCCTGGCCGTTGAAGCCGCCAACGATATAGATCTTATCATGCAGGGCTGCCGCGCTCGCGTCCGATCGTTGCCGATGCATGGATGGTATCATCTCCCATTGATTCCTCTGTGGATCGTACCGTTCGCCAGAACTCATTCTTGTGCGACCATTGTATCCGCCGAGAGCATAAATCTTGCCACCTTAAGCGATATCAGAACAATGCGCAATAAGTAGACAATGGAAATAATATAAAGGAGAGGTGAGACAAATGGTCTTTACCGAAAAATAGAAGGATTTGTTTTAACATTAATAATGGTGTGAAAGGAATTTTACTTTTTGCATACATTTATGCGTATTATTATCTTATTTATTCATTTGAACAATGCTTCACTGAACTATTTCAAAGGAGACCTATTATTGTTCCGGCGACAGCAAAATATAATTTAATTGTACTTTAATTTTTTTAACATTACGAAACAGTGATGATAGTGAAGATTGCTTGAGCTTCTAATTTTATTCATCTAACGTCAAGACGCGCTATTTAATATTAATAAGAGATAAGAATCGGAGAATTATATTTGGGGAAATCTTCCTTCTCCATCTTACAATTAAATTCTTATCCTGTAAAAAACCTACCGTGTGTGCAAACGCTGACGTAACACCTAGCATGATACATGCAGGCTCGTTCTCGCCACGTTTTTGTTGTTGGATCGAAACATCGCACCGTGTTAAAGTGCTCGTTACCATCAAATCCGCCGATCATGTAGATAAGATTGTTCAGGACACATAGTCCGTGATAAGCCCTTGGCGTTACATCCGTGTTCACTGATAGAAACCATCTGTCAGCTCTAAAGATCATATTAAGGTAAGTTGTAAGACTCTCAAGGCATATCTACTTAGCATATGCGATATTCTAAAGTGATGCTTGTGCAAAGGTTAATATTCCTTCTGTGATGTTAAAATTGCATTAGCATGTGTTATCTTTTTTATGGTTATTTACTGTCTTTTATGGTTATTTACTGTATGTGTTATCTTTTTCATGATTATATACTGTCTCAACATAGCTAATCTTCTTTTTAACTACTTCTTTTTACTAATTTATAAAATATCAAAATGTATAAAAATGTTTAATATAGGCTAAAAATAAATAGTACTAATTTACTAATTTATTAATTTATAAAATTGTTTTATTAATTATAATAAAATATCCAGATGTATTAAAATGTTTAATATAGACTATAAATAAATAGTATAGAAATTAAGTAACTACCATATATTGATATCAGAACAATTTATAATATTTAAAAAGTAAGACAAATATTTTTTTTGTATAAAAAATCGATTTTAAATAAATTAGAAAATACACTCTTTAAAGAAAATATTTATTTATTTTTATTTCAAGCCTAAATTGAAATCCAATATGTTATACAGTGTTGTTATTTTTGGAACCTCACAAATTTCGATTTCTATGGAAATTTCGGTTATGCGATATTACTTTATAAGAGCTTGAATCCGCCGATCGCAAAGAGAATTTCGTATGGAACACGAGGTCTTGCAATAGGATTTTTCAAATCAATTTCCCCATTTTGTTTCAATTCTTGTTCAGTTAGATACGCGTTTACAGGAAATAGTATTTGTTGGCACGCCTTAGAAAGTTTAAACAGATTTAACGTGATTAAAATGTATCATACAAAAATGAAAATTAAGAGGGAAATGTAATAAAAATTAAAAATATAATAAAAATTATTATTTATATAATTTAAATATATATTTTTATTACAATAAAAATTGAAATTTATATTTTATTAAATATATTAGCAGATCTTATTTTTATAAAAATATATTATGTATAAGAATTTATGATGTGTATATTTTAATACTCCAATATTCTCTTTCCGAGTAAAAAATAGAAATATCTGTTACACAGAATGTGAATAATAAATTAATTTAGTTTATATATAATGCTATATCTTGTGAGAAAGTAATTACAAAGGAACTATATATCTGCACTACGCTTAGCTCTATTATATTTGATTCAGAATGGAGCAAAACAAGACACGAGGATCAGCTGTGATGAAGGTATGAACTTACTTCATCCTTCTCAACGAGCTTCCAGTTGACGATGTTATTAATGAAATACTTATGACTCATGAGACCATAACGTATACATTCCAGCAACCTCGGTAAATAAACCCGTCTCTCCTCGATTCTGGTTTCGACCCACGTCTTGACGGCGTCAAACACGATTTCTTCGTTTTTTACATTAAGCTCGTCATCGCGCAATATTGCTTCCAGCTCGTCGCAAAGAAGATCCTTGAACTCCGCGCTCTCCTGCAATATTCGCTTGAAGTGATGATGTATGTACTTTCGTCCCTGTTTCTCAAGATCGTGGCAGAAGTAGTGTTGTGCAAATTTGAAAATACCTGTAACAATAGTCAAAGTTGTTTCTAACATAAATGTCATGAATTGTTCGTGTAGAAAATCGAAAATCAACATCAAAGTTCAGTATGAACGAGTGAATTTAACTTTCAAACTGTTATCTTTTGCTAACTGAGTCAAACTAAAATTATGCCATACTGTTGTTTCGCGATTATTTTTTAATTTGTCCTTGTATTGTTAATTGTTCTTGTATCGTTACATTTTATATACATTTTTACTTTACCTAAACAATTTTCTGGTCGTAGCTCCTGCAACAAAAACTGACAACAGAGTTGGATGATTCCGAGTACTTCGAACTGATCGGCTAGCGGCAATAATTGTTCGACATTATCGGCGTTTACGTTGCAGGTGCCTGTATAGGCGTAATCAAGAATCAGGCTGAAGATTTCACCGGGGACGGAAATAACAACTTCTGTGGTCTCGGTTTTGCCGCCTTTCAGGCTGTTGGTGAAAAGGGCCTTGAAATAGGGGCTCACCGCAGATAATATAGCGCGATGGACTGGGAAGACTTGATCCTCCGGACATCTTATGATGCCGTCACACAGCTGCTGGTTAGCCCTGAAGCCGATAGACTCGTCACAATTCTGAGAACGTTGCATGTATTTTATAATTAACTATTTATTATTGTACAAAATTTTGAACGTGCGAGTGAATGAACGTAATAGATACAGAAATTAAAGTACTTGATTGAATTGAAGTTATGTAATTATTATTGGATACATTAATTTACGAATTATAGATTTGTAGCACATTAAAGCTAATTTCAATCTAATGTTCTTATGTCATAAGAAATTGTAACACGTAGCTAATTAATAAAACAAGATTATTAAATTTTATTCTTAAATACATTTTGGCGAGAGAGAGTACGGCAAATACTCTAAAACTTGTTTCTCATGTAGGACAATCGTGTACCAATTGCGAAAATTGGCTAATTTTCTAAAAGCTAGTAAACATCGCGTAAATTTGCGCTTCTATCTGGAAACCACGCATTATCCCGAGAGAGAAAGTTAATAATCCGCGGTTGGAGGAAGGAGTGCCTTAATTATGATGGCGCCTGATTACCGACCTGAGCTCGGACCAAACCACGGGGAACTCCACGAGAGCGTAATTGGACGGTAGACACATGCATTTCCTAATTCTCGCCGATTGCTTTCGCCTGGACTGCTTGAGGAGCCTGCTAATGCCAGTAATGGCGTCCACGTGCGCCCGATGTCGCGAGTAGGTCAATGAGCGCGGCCCCGAGCTTCCTATTGCTTCTTCCGCTTCACCGCTTCCGCTGAGCTGCCAGCAGTTCTCGTATTCGTTCTCTTCGCAGACGCGAGTCCCGATAGCGCCGAGACGCGCGGCCATGACAGACGAAGGCCAAAAATTGGCCAACTTCGATTCAATCTATTTGTATGTGTTTTTTTTTCCCTCTCTCTATCTCTCGATCTCTCGAGGAAATTGCATTGAATTGATATTCGTTGCATTTATCATTAACGAATAAATCGAATTATCTTTAATATAATTACATTAGATAGTATAGTCATGTCGTTCTTCTCGAGAGTGAGAGAATATATAAAATGGTAAACGATCGTTGTAAGTTTATACAGCATTTTTTAATTCCAATTTTTTTTTCCTATTTTTCTCTCATTAATCATATCGCAATCTGCGATAGTACATACGTTATTTGCGTATATAAGCTTACGTTTAACAGAATACAAAAATCCAACTAGAAATTATTTTATAAAAACTTGTGGGGGCAACTTCCGTTTGTGCAGGCATCTCGCCGAACTATTTTATCAGAATTTTGTTCCGGAGCATATAAAGTGCTTTATCACGTCTCTCTTTTAACTTCGCGTAATATCTTCTCTTGCAGATAAAACGTTTCTAACCCATTTACGGTCTTGCAGTAGAAATACAAAAATCTAATAATCTAGAAATAAACTGTTTGAAATATAAAAGCCGTATTGAGAGAGGATATAATATACAATATATATATATATCTTTGGTTTGGTAAAAAGATTTAATAAAAAATTATCGGTTTTACAGGTAGAAAGTTTCAAGTAGATTTGCAATATCATCTAAAAAGGAAGTTCTTTGGAGCGCCAACTCGGTTGATAATATGCCTGCAGTATATAAAGGATAAAGGTACAAAGCGGAAATGAAAAAAAACACGGTTAAATGGAAGAGCTCATAATTTGACATTAAAACACACGTGCATACGTCATTACGAAACATACAATACACTCATACGCACGTACACTCGCAGTGCGTTTAATAAGATATTTGTGGTCACTGTACACACAATACAAGTATGCATTTAATAAGATATTTGTGGTTAAATATGGAATTTATTGCGGACAAGCTGTAAATTAGATTATTTACAATTTATCAAATAACTATTAATTATATTTACTTAAAAATTTTTTACATTACTGTAATTAACGCTTATCCTTCGCACTTCTATTATATTAATTATTTGAGAGACATTAAAGTAAAATTCATAATTATAGAATATTTATAGAAAATTATGTGTAAAATTTATTGTTTAATGACTTATTTATTATTTCTATTGATTTACTTTAAAGGTTAATTGCCACGTGCTCTCATCGGAGATAACAATATCTTTTTTCTTAGAAAGCTTTTTTAACTCAACTCCGCAAAGTATTGTTCATACCACTCGAGAAATAATTTTATTTGCACTTCTGAGTCCCCTCTCTCCACTCTCTTAAATTAAATCGATAATACAATGATCCCGGGGATTGTTAGGCAATTTTTCATATTTCCATAATGAGACCTTCAACGTGCCTCTAAACGAGCGTTTGACTCGCTGATAAAATAATTTACATACTGGGAAGAATATTGTCTTGGCACTAAATATATATACGATTGACGTAGTTAACATTTTACGAAATCTCACAGGAATACTTAAGAAAACTCTCCATTTTCTTTTTCTTTTAAGGCCGCAATTTTATTTAATTTACCCTTTACTTTTTAGATAACATCGATTCTAATTATTTTGAATTCTCTCTCTCTCTCTCTCTCTCTCTCTCTTTCTTGTTCATCTTCTTTAAAACTTAGTAATAATTTGCATCAAAATTTGCTTGTTAAAAAAGATCATAAGTGTAATGCCTTTTATGACTTGCAAATGATATAAATAATGAACCATAATTTCTTTTATACGACTTTTTATTCTTGTCGTCTTTTCTTCTTTCTTTTCTTCTTCTTCTGTTCTTTTCCTTTTTAGTAGTTATTCTTTTGTTTTTCTTCCTTCTTCAGTTCTAAGTATCTCTTGACATAAGAACTTCTGTTACACTCATGTGAGTCATGAACTTTATTTTCTACATCGAATATTTACGTACATAACTTTGCATTGTTTATATGCTAAAAGTAAGTACGCATAAATTCCTCAGATACAATAACACGTATAGTAGATATTGCAAGAAATTAGCGACATGTCTCGCGTAGTGTATGATTGCTTTGTAATTGAAGTATCTAATGAGTTTGTTTTATTACAGTTTACACGTGGAAATGTAAACTTCGCACAGAGAGTTGCTTGGATTTCCCACATTTCCAATTACTCTTTCTCACACGAGAGCCAACATTAGCGTTAATCAAGCTGCATGGCGCAGAATGAATTCGCAGAATGAATTCGCTAATAAAAATTAACCTCTGTGGTTAATAGTAAATACTTCCCACACACGAATATTGAATACATAAAAGTATTAAATATTTTCGGATCTGTGCAATTATATGAACATTTGCGTAAAAGTTTCCGATATATATCATTCTTAATTTACAGTTGAGATACGTATGCAAATTTCTGCACGGACACCTCCGCACAGTTTTCCATTACGTGCATGTGCAGCCATAAGCCAACATGCGTATATGCATGTTCACGACTGAACATGACGCACCGTTATTAGGTGTTATGCTTTTGCCTGCGATAATTGTAAATAGGAATAACGTTTGCACTATGACGGTCTCGGAAATATCAGCCACGAAGTCAATTTATACAGACAACACGCATAAACCGCGCAACAGAACGTTAAATATGTGTATTTGTAGCGTCTATATTTAGGAATATATGAATTTTGGTTTTGTGTATATTTCGAAATATTATTTGTATTAATATTTAAGTATAAAAGTTAATGTCAAATGAATTAAATTCAAATAACCAGCAAAACCAGCAAAACCAGCAAAACCAGCAATACGGCCTTAAGAGAAAATGCATAGTCGAGATTATTCTAGGAAACATTAAATATTATATAAGATTATTACGTTAGTAATCGAGCTGAATAATAATAATGATAATAATATTTTTGATTTAGAAGTGGCGTAACTGCAATTTTTCAATTTTATCGTTGCAAACTTTAACGAAAACTCCCACTGGAGTACGTATGTACACAACTGGTGACTATACCAATTGTTCAAAACGTGTGGAAAACACATTCTCTAACGAGCATGGAGGACATCAAAAATGGCCGAAACTTCAAATCGTGTTTACCCGAGAGAATGGAAATAAGCGGCGAGATCGTTCGGCGCTAAGTTAATAAAAACGAAATTGTCAATTTCGCACGTCGACGGTAGAACGTTGCAAATTGTTTTTTTACGAGTAGCTATAAAATATTCAACATTGCGGATGCAACGTTCTCAATATTTTATTGAATATTGTGTAATATAGTAGCTTCAATTATTTACTATTTTCAAAGTTGAAAAACTTTTGAAGTAATGTTAAATTTAATATGTCAAAAAAAGTATGTCAACTTATTTCAATAAATATATTTCATTATACATTCAATTGTATATACTTAAATAAAATAATGTCTGTGTGTGACTCACACACACACACACACACACACACTCTCTCTCTCTCTCTCTCTCTCTCTCTCTCTCTCTCTCTCTCTCTCTCTCTCTCTCTCTCTCTCTCTCTCTCTGTCACGATAATTTTGCACAGAAAGACAATAATTATTTTTGATGTGGTTTGATAATTTATTTAAGAACTGAATTTCATATTTCATATACGCGAATCTTCCACCTACATTCTCTGGATACATTTTATTTTGTACGGTCGATAGAGCTCAATATCATTATTAGATTCAATTTCAATCTACGAAAAATGTCCCAATAAATAAGAAATACAGAGTGGCAGCGAATTGTCAAAGAAGGTTTGGTAAGTAAAAGAAAAAAGAAAACATATTAAATTCGTCTTCGTACATACCATGCTCGCAGATCCGAAAAATTTGTCGTGCGGAGCTAAGATGGATCGTTCGAGATTCTTGAAGAATAGCGTTGAACTTTTAGCCAGTCATGCTACTTATAAACTTGACGTTACTTCAATGAATACACATTGTAGTGCTGTGATCTAATAAGCGTTTCTCATTTACGCGAAGATAATCAATGTTTTATTTAATTTTCGTGACGTTAGCAGAATCTCACTTGTTAACAAAAACAATTTCCATTATGATATCGTTGAGACAAGATAAATTAAATCGTGCAATTTTGATGACAATATTACGATATTCATTGTTACTAAAACTTTTGAAATGTATCATTATGCTTACAATCGTATGATGCATATAAAATTAATGGTTGCACGGTTTGTAATTTATTAATGTAGAAATTCAGTGAAAAACAAAAACAGGATAAAAGTAGGAGGAAAATTTGGAACAACAAGACTTTTTAGAAAGACGCCACGTAGCAAGAAATGAATATTTATGTGAATCTGTTATATGGAGAGTCACGTGAGTCTACGGAAAAATATTTTAATCCTTAAAATAGTTTTCGTGATTATTCTCGAGAATTGTATAATATATGCACATATCTCACTTGGTGAAATCGAGAATGCAAGGTAGATACAGAATAAAAGTATCAATCTCAATTCTTTCAATGACAGCGTAACTGATAGCAATAAATGTGGGCTAAATCCCGAAGGTGAGTTAGCTCGAAAGTTCTTAATGTAAAAACGAGTTTCACTTCTTTCTGAAATCTTGCGGATCGCTTAGGCGCGCGATTTACTTAAATGTTATCATACTCGGGTTTAAATTCCACTCGAGATACACGCATCACCGAAATCCGCACACATTTTATCTCGTACGGTCGATGACGCCCAATCAAATTGTTAGGTTCAATTCCAATTTCCGGATATCTACGATAAACGGGAGGGTCTTCTAGCGTTGAGAGAAGAAAAAAAAGTAGCAGAGTAAAAGCTTAATTTACTTCTCAATTGTCTATGTTATTAAAAGAAGCAAATCGTCCCGCCGAAGTAATTGTTTGAAAATTATTAATTATTAAGCTGCCGCGACGCTTAATCAAATTAAAAATTAATAATTTTATTTTAATTGACAATTGATCTTAATTGAAGTTTAATAATTCGCACCGAGTCAAATAATTCCGATTGCAGGGAAGATTTGTGGGTCAAGTTATGACTTATGAATACTAAATAAATGAATATTTAGAAGGAACTATTATTAAAGTAATTCAAGAATTTGCTGCTCCTTTTAATTTGCAAACGCTAACTAGTTCGCGTTAGTACAGTTTAGCGAAAGAACTCCCTACTTCTGACCAAGATCGTCTATAATTCTAGCGTACTTTAGTAAACTCCACACTCCGTTCTGTTCGAATTTACTTTGTCTAGTCCATAGTAATCTAGGTTACTGGTGAAAAGAATAACTATTCCGATTTTTCGTACTCTTTTCATGCTTACGTTAACAGTTTGACTTTCCAGCGTGTATTGATTTTACATGGTTGAGGGCCATCTCATTGGATTTGCAACTTTCGTTTCAATCCGCGTTTCAATCTACAGAAAATTCCGGATTTCGCAATGGATAAAGATATAAATGGAAGAATAGATCCTATCTCGATTCTCATCAGACTGGTCAACGAAATTAACGTACACGTTAGATTCTCGATAGGATGAAAGAAATCAATGTTCTTTCATTAAAATTAAAATTTTATCAAAAACAAGTTTTAATATTAAGTAATTAATAATGAATGAAATTAAACATATAAGTATAAATTATTCGGCATTATAATATTTATTATTGAAAAAGGATTCTTATATTTTAACATTTATTGAGACTTTTAAATGGGTTAGACATAGCACTAAAAAAATTATAATGGAATTTCTAAATATAAAGATGCGTAACATAAATAACTTTGTGTTAACAATATATATACCATATACAATAAATTTACATACATAATAAATTTATTAATATTTTTTATTGTAACAATAAATAAGTTATTATATTTTTACATGTATTGTAAAAGTTACATAATAAGTTCAATACCATTTTTTATTGTAATTTTCAAGTTGATATTAGAGAGGAATGTAAATTAGGATAAAAATTCAAGAGACACCAAGAAGATGATTTTTATTATTTTCAGAGAGATACAGAGAGAGAAGGTTTAGAATATTGCGTGACGGTCCGTACAATATGCGTTTATATCACTGAAACGTGTTGGTTCGAAAGACAAATATAACAGAAAGATAAATGTCTAATTTTATGGATCAGAGAAATACACGTATGTATGAAATATTTCACGTTCCTGTCTTCTTCTCTATATCGAATAATTTGTATACGCCAACATTAGCATTCTAAAAATTTTTGCAAATCTCGTGAAGAGACGTAGAATCCAAATACATAAAGAAAACGTAAGAAACTAAATAAGAAAAATTATTACATTATACATCATATACGAGACCATTCGATATTGAAAACCCCAAAGAGGCGCACGCTGACCGCACGAGACCGCACCGGGATCGAGATGCACGTCCCATTTCGCACGGGCGAAGGCACCCAATCAAGCTCCAGTCCAGTTTCAATTCTGATCCGCGGAATGTCCCAGTGAACGAGAGAAAGAGAAAAAGAGAGATCACGTACGAGAAAAAAAAAGAGATAGAAAGAGAACAATTCGGATGTAGGACGACGAGGCCGGGGGAAAAGTCTGCGGCGACGAGGAGCCTTTTCCCTCTTTTCCCTCTTTTCCCTCTCACTCGCCTTCTCGCTCTTTCTCTGGATGCAAGGGGGTAGGTAGGGATGATCTGGCCTACCCTCTGGTGTTGCTGGCGTGCGCGCTGGTGCTTTCGGCTTCCCCGGGACGGACTCGCGCTCTCGCCCGCCGCCGTCGCTCTCTCTTCGTCGCCGTTCTCTCTTCGTCGCGATAGCGAGTGGCGGCGTCGCACGTATCGTAAGAGTAGGAGTGAGCTGGCCAGAGCTGCTGGCTCTTGCTCAGTCAGTTCGATACCGAGCGCCGAAGCGTTCGGTTCGCTCTGATTGCGGCGTGCGCTGTTATCGTTATCACTTTCTGTCTCGTTACCACGCCGCTCCGGAGGACACCCGAGCGCTGAACGGGCCCCCGTATCTGGGGTACCATCGCGCTGACCGGGGGATGACGAGGCATGGAGCGCGCCGCGGGGTTGCCTGTGACACGCGGAAATGAATCACGGAACATGTGCGCTCCACAGGAATTAAAAAAGCCGCTATAAAGTAATTCTGGACCGAAGAAGATCACGAGATTGAAGAATAGCATTTCGCGATTGAGACCGAGAAAGGTTTTCCATTCTTTCTTTTGCGACAAAAGTAAGTTGCTACTTTACGAACGGGACACTTACGTGTCGAACCGGTGGGACAATGCTTTGGACCATGTGCACCTTTGAGAGGCTTCGCTTTGTGAATGAGCTTTTGAATTCCCGGGTCGAAGCGAGCGGCGATGAGACCGCGGAGGGGACAGTGATCTTTTTCAATGGATCCTCGTGCAGGGATGAGAGAACACCAATAGAAGAAAACGCAGCTTAAGTGCCATCGTTAGCGATCGCCTTGTAAGTACTCTACATTCGATTCATCGCGTGTTTCATTACTTTTAAAGCTTCTTTATCACACCGGCAATTACTTCGAACGTGTAACAGGCGGTATTTATGTGACTTAAGAGAAGACGATTTCAAGTCGAATTCCCTCAAGATGGTGAAATATAAGTTAGTCACCTGTGTATGCGTGAATTACTCTTTTGGGGAAAGTATGCTCGCGACTTAACACCAGTTATTCAAAACATTAATACGGACTCTCATAGTTGTTTCTGAAGTTAATCTAAAGATTGTCTTAATGACTCGTTAAAAACCGCCGCTCGTGGTGAACGCGATTTTGAGAAAAGCTGTTTAATTTCTTAATTGGTGCGTTGATTTATTTAATTGTACGTTTGGGATGGTTCGCGGAAAATTAACAATTTTGCGAGGAAGCGAATTGTACAGAAGAATGTAGCGGATAATACACCACACACGAGAGTATGCGCGGTTTGCTCCGCCGTATACGGTAAATGGCGGGATGGTTCATAGTAAGCGGACATAACCCACGCACTTTGCATATCGACCCTCTTCTCGCACGTCTCTCGTCCTATTAATTAAGCCGCTAAGCAGCATGATTTTGGATATCAAAACAATTCTGTAACGGAATGGGAATATCATCGAGGATGCTTTGGCGAACAGATGTTGGAGAAAGGATTGACTGATTGTTAGATGTGCGCAGCATTAAATCCAAATGGTTGCACACGTATCCATTGTTAAGAGATTAATGAAATATTAGTTTAATTTGGAACCGGTTGTTTTTAGCAATTTATTAAGGATATAAAAAAACATATAAATAAATAAAATTTTCTCTTTGTTTTTTAGTCTTGTTTTTACTTTTAGATACTTTAATCTGTTAAACCATGCATTGGTTTATGACATATAATTGAAAAAACATTTTTGCGTTTTAAATGTTTAAGTACTATTTGAGTATAAAACTTTTCTTCGGGTGTTAATTACAATACTGATTTACTTTTAATGCTACTTAGAAAAATATATAAATGTAATCTTTAAATATTGTGCCTTTTTATCGAATACCATTTTCGAAGAAAACTTTCAAGAAAACAAGAGGACAGCTCTCTGTATTTTTTAAAACTAAAACCAAATGCATTTTCTTGCATAAATCGATATTCCTCTGCATTATTTTGTAAAAAGTATAACACTGGAAAATTCCAATTATTCTGATTACATTCTGATTTGAGGGATAAAAAATATCTATCTTGTGAAGTATTTATTTTTTTTAATGACATAAATATAAGGCTATATAAGATTAATTTTAAATATCTATATAACAATTGCTAATAACTTTTTTTAGTCATTATTTAAGTTATAATATTTTAATAGAATTTTTCAAGCGTACATTATGCAGAATGTAGAAAAATGGTAGATTTGTGAGAAATATTTTATTTTAAATACTTTCTATCGAAAAAACATCTACAACTTTTCTATTTCGGTTTTTTATCGTGCCAAGTATTAATTGTAAAAGATTTAAGAACAGAAACTTCTGATTTCTTTAAGATTGAATCAAAAGTCTAAAATTGTTTAGCTTCTTAATTGGTGTATATTTCGATAGGACGATTTACAATTACTTGCGTAAGAGGTGCGTTCGAGGTCATTTGCAGGACCAAATTATATTAAAAGTAATATTAAATTACGGTATGTCTTTATTTTATGAAAAGATTCTGATGAACTTTAAAACATCAATCTGTAAAAAGGGTCGAACTAATTTTAAAACAAGAGTTCTTGGACAGACAACTTTACAAGAGTCTTTTATTACTTTTGATTAAATTTGCTATTTCAAAGTAACAAAATTCGCAATTTAATTTTCTTTATTTAAACATGCATATTATTAATTCACAGAGAAAATTTACGCAGTCGCAATTACTTACACTTCAACTTATATATATATATATAAAATGTAATTTAATTTCTTCGTAAATTACAGCAGAATTGCGAAGCGTCGTTCAAAGGAATTTCTCTTGCATTAACGTATACACTGTACATACAGCGAAAACTCGCAGGTCTTCTAGATACTCCTGATAATCGCGGCTCATTTTGCGTCGTGTTAACATGATTTACCCGTTCTTGTTTCAAACAGGACACTCTAAATTGGGATGCACGGACAGTAAAGTAACAACGCTTTACTAAAAGTCCTGCATTCGCAAGTGAACCACTCTTCTGCGTGCCGCAGTAAAAGGAAAATAGAGGAATTCTCACTCGCATACGCGGTAGATAAAAAGACTGCGTGTATAGAATGGGAAGCATTGAATTATGTCCATATCTTTTTGGAACAAAAGTCAAACGAGAGAGGCACAGAGGAAAAAAAGCAGAAATTTATTATACTTTGGAAATTATAATCAATATTATAAAAAAGCAATATACAAATTTATAAATCACTTGACGTTCGCGAAGAAATCGTTGTTAAGTGTTAACTTTTATCTTATCCCTCTTAAAACAGTGATAAAAGTAGGTATATGCGCGAAAAAGACATGTATCCGGAAAAGCCTCTTTTTCACGTTATAAATCCTTCTTCATTTCTGAAAGTTTCGGAAGATAAAACCAAGGTACAAAAATTGCACGCTTGGTCCACTGAAATTGTACGCTTGGTCCACTAAAATTTTTTGTGCGGAGGTATAAAAGAGCTTTGTACCTTGAAAACGAAGTTCTTCGAACATATAAATCTTTCTAAACTTTTATAATTACATTAATAAGAATAGTACACTCCGATATTTATCTTTAATTTTCAAACGCATAATAACGGAGTAAACCCGAGTGAGAAAAAAAAGCGAAACCAACAACAAAGCAACTTCAACGCCGTTATATGGAGTATTGAAAAAAAATCCGCTTGAATAGGCGGACTCCTAAATGGAAGAAACCTTTTTCTCATTCTGTATAATATTGAATATAACACTCAAAGTTCCGTTCTCCTTTATTAGGATACGTCCGGAAGCCGCGTTGATCCACCATTATCACCCCTGCGCGGAATACGAAATGAAAGTGGCTCGCCATGACGATGTGCTCGCGCTTATTTGTAACTCCATTACCAGAGAGAGGACCAGGATTTTCACAGCGGGAATCGCGTGACGAAGAGATATCAGGATTATTATAATTACGCGACTTTTAAGCGTGCAGTTCGATGATTAAGAAACTTCACTCTTTGTGACATTTTTTTAAACTATTGATATTAAAATATCTCGACTATTCGCACAAAATAACTCAAATGCTCGAATTATTTCAACTTGCCGTTTTAATAGTTAGAATAGGAACCATAATAAAATTATATTTTAAAATTCGTGTGCTTGAGAAAGTGTGCGGACGTGATTTCGAGTCCGCGAAGTATTCCGGATTCTCAGAAAAATTATACGTAAAATATTTCATAGCGTTTGCGCTGCCCAGCATAAATTTATATGGATTAAAAAATAAATTTATATATGAATTTTTCGTTTTTAATGTACCTATCTAAATTTTTGCGTGCGTTTCTTATGTATTAATTTATTGCAATAATTAAAATAATTAATTGAAAAAAATACAAAATTCAGATAATACTTGTTTAAATAGTTCTAAGTATAAATATTTACTTTCTAAATCTGAATCAGTGGATAATCACTAATATCAGTGTCAAGTATGCCACTGGTAATCAGTGAATTAAATGTGAGATCCTTAATCTTTATTGATCTAACTAACCTTGTTTTAGTGCTTAAATTCAATGAATATGGTATTGGAAGATTGAAATTAACGTGTAAATATTAGTATTTTAGTTATATGGTCAAACATTTTTCCTTTTTTAGTTGAACTTCGCTGATTATCAGTGCAAAATATGCCACTAGACAATTAGTGACTATCTACTGATTCAGATTTAGAGAATACTAAACATAAGCTTATATTTATTTGATACAAAAATCATTAATTTGATTTAACTATTATTTTATTATTGAGTATGTTTATTTACTTTAGTAAATGTTTACTTAAAGAAATATATTAAGATTTAGTAAATCTTTTTTTATATAAAAATAAAGTAAATAGGTTTAATGCGTCTTATCTTGTATATTTATATTAATAATAAATTTTAGTAATAATTTTTGTTCGTTTCTTTTAGGTCTTATTTTATTCTTATATAATATTTAATACATACGAGCGCGATTCTTCTATTAGTTTTTTATATATTAGGTGTTGGAATTAATTCGTAGCGTTTTACAAGTGATGGGAAGTACTTTCATTAATGTATTTTTTAATGCTCATGTGAAATAAATAACATTCTTTCATTATAAAACGCTACGAATTAATTCCAACACCTAATAGATTAAACTAAAAACTCTGATGGAAACTCGACTACTCACGGAGCAATTCTCCCGATTGTCTATAATCCTTGATTATAGCGAAAAATTAAAAATAGACAATTTCAATGAAAAGAGATTTAAATCATTAAGCTGCATACGTGTGCAATCCGTCAAAGCTGGATTATCATTGTGAAGTGTGCAAAATTGCTAGAGAAAATAAGCAGCGCAAATGATAAGGGCATTTAAATATGCACACAATTTATTTAGTCCGTTGATTAGAAAATAACATCTTATCGCGGCATTCTATATCACTTCAACATCATTTCTACATCATTCAATAACGAAATAATAGCCCAGTATTTATCATGTGAATAAGTTAATGGCACAATCTGAATGATCGTCTTGATGCTCCACGAGGAGTTAATTTCCGCGTTTAAAGCACTCAAGTATCGATTAATAAAGCGCTTTAAATAAAGAGCGTCTCGAGCCCCGTCGTCGCCGATATGATGCAGACAACGATAAAGCAGCCGGTGACGGTGACAGATCGTATTTTCGTTGCGATTATCGGAAAATACAGCGCGGTATTTTATATAATGAGCCGGCAATTATCTGCGACGAAGAAATATTGAATGCGCTTGGTTATATTTTTAATGTCGTTGATACGTCCCTCTCGACCGGTCTGCTGGAAAATATTTACAACAGCAG